CACACTGGTAAATACCAGTTCACAAGTGGAAAATATCATATTTTCCATAGCACGTGAACGCACCATAAGTCTGGCAGGTTTCAGTTGATGGCATGTCAGGAGTAGGTGGAGGAATAGGTGGCAGTAGACAAGTGGAGAGATTGTGGTATCTCCTCTTTATACCACCCTCTGGCTCACTGTCAGAATCTGTATCACCAAAGATTTGCCTAACAAACAAATTACAACGGACCATAGTGATTTTTTTGGGCGTGGTTACAAACATCAACAAATTTATTAAAAAATTTAAGAGCTGCGTATTCATAGATGCCACCTACGTCACAACCTAATAGAACGCCACCATATTTACGACCGATCTCGCCCGGTATGGCCGCCCAAACTGCCCATTTAAATGAGAGAGAGAGAGATACCTGGAGAAAATTTTAATTTTAGGCTCCGATCCTTTTTTGTTACCCAGTTTTCTTTTGTCCATTATTATCTGCCCCAGACTTGCCCCAATTTGCCTTCCATAATATATATATATATACATATATCTTGTGCATAACCCCTCCCCATACAGTGGGGATCACTTGAAGGCTTTCCAAAGTACCGATGCATATCACTATGCTGTGGCTGGATGGGTAAAATACGTAAAAGTGCGGCACCTGGCCACCAAGGATTTATATTTAATCTTGGGAAATGTAAGTATTCTAAAAAAAAAATTCAAATGTATGATTTTGGTGGTAGTTTGCTTTGACTAGGTAGCGAGTTGTTAGCTAGCTAAGTGGCTAACAGCTGGTAGCTTGCCAGCTGTTAGCCACGGCTCACGGCTAGCTGTCATTAATCTGGATTAGGCCTGTCGCAAAAGTCAATAAATCAATTAATCGCAGAATAAAAAAAATGACCTCGATAATTTTTCCGGCCGCGATAATTTCCATTAACATGCTTGTTTGTTTTCCTCGTCTCTCTCGCTCTCTCTCTCTCTCTCTACCAAAGAGACTGGATGACAACTCTGTTTAAGACATAACCGACATATTTTACGTAAATACTCTCCAAAACGGACATTTAAACATAATGTTGTGTGTATTTGTCCATTCAGACACGAAACAGAGCTCAATTCATTACTCGCGCGCTGTATAGGGGTCTATGGCTGCACGCTTCTGGTTGGGTGTGTGCGCACAGAAAGATGAGACATGATATAATTTGAGACATACAGCCAGAGCATGTGAGCGGAGTGGAGCGGGAGCGAGCGGGGAGCGCAAGCGGGCGGATCTTGGGCAGAGCGGCATTTTTAAAAGGACGGAGCGTCGCCCTATTTCCCGCTCCAATTTCGCTCCGCTCACACCACGAGTCTGAAGCATGCTCAGTCAAGCCTGACCCAGAATCCATCTGTGTCTACTACAGTCATCAAAAGTAGGGCTCAATAATGGAGTTCAAAAAGTACTTCAAAAAGGAAAATGAGAAGTCATACAGGTGTAGTATTAATATAAAACTAACTAACAATGATTATGTGGTACAAGAAAAAGAATGTGGAGACATCGTTTCAGTCAGTAAAGATTCATTTTGGAATCTAAAAAGACACATCTCTCGAAAACACGAAAGTGTGCTACGTGAACACGCTGGGGAGAAAACAAAAGGTTAGCAAGTTGAATACGGTCATTTGTAACAAAAGTGTAAAGTAAATATAGCGTAATATTAAAACAAATTCGTTTTGTCATTCAAGTAGGCCTAATGGTTCGTTTTATTTAATTTGTGTCGTCCGTGAATTTGTATTTGATAGAGCGAGAGGAGGAGCAGTTTCTTTACTGCACGCAAAGGCCCAACCATAACAAGGGAGAGAAAAAGAGAGCTGGATGTAGCATTTTTTAAAATGATTTACATGGACTATGAACCGCTGAGTAAAGGAGAACGCGAAGGGATGCAACACTTCGCCAGCGCCGCTCAACCGGGCTACACACCCCCATGTTACAACACCGTACGGGACACGCTCATGCCACATGCCCTGGAAGAGATGGAAGCCAAACTGCAAGACCTACTGCAAAATTGTGATGGGCTCGTTCTGTCAGCGGACATTTGGACCAGTAGAAGAGGGCACAGCTTCCTTGGCATCGTGGCCAGTTTCAATGATGAGATGTTCCGGGGGCACCACACCGCAGATCGTATTTATCAGAAGTATGAAAGTGTACTGAAATATTGGAACGTGCAACGACGTGTGATTCGGGTTGTCACTGACAGTGCCAGCAACATGATCAAGGCGTTTAACCTCCTCCCTGGCACTGAAGAGGAGGCAGAGGGTGAAGTGACCGCAGATGCCAGTAGCAGCGCAGAACATGAAGAGGAGGATGAGGGACCACCTGCGCCCTCGCAAGTCCATGTGGAAGTGATAACCACTAATGTAGAAACTATGATAAATCAGTACTTTACTGTGTCAAATTTACATCTGAGATGCAACATGACATCATGACTTTGCGTAAACATACACGCCACTTTCAATTCAAGTGGCGTGTTATCTATACGCATTTTGAGCTATCCGCGTGTATGTCCACGCCGAAATCTTTTGCGTGTATGTCTACGCCATTAAACGTCCGAGTGATTCCGCGTGTATGTGTACGCCGTTAAATGTCCGAGCGAAACGAAGCAAAATCTATATTCTACATCTGTGGAGCGATATTTCTTTTCCTAGGATGGTAGGAGAAGACTCATAAATGGTATTAACCCCAGTGACGGGTAGGTTTAGGGACGGGGTTGGGGTAGGTCATATATTTATATGTACATAATACAGTAATATAACGTTAAGTCAAAGGCGTTGATAAACACGCTGAAAAGCGATTATGCGTGTTGATAGCACGCCAAAAATGGAAATACGAATTGGCGTGTCATACATACGCCATTTCATGAGATCAGTCTGTGAGATGCCCCATTCACATGCTTCAGCTGGCGATCAAAGACGCCGTTAACGAGCACGACAACATTAATAGGCTGTTAGTGAAAGTCGGGCACCTGGTGAAAAGTGTACGCAAGAGCACCCTGAACACAGAGGAAACAGACCAATTGTATTGACAGAGTTACAGTTCATTTTTCGGACGCGTTTCAGAATGGACTTTACTGACAAAGAGAAGGCAAAACGCGCATCATGTTTATTTTTCTTTATTTGACGAAAAGCACAACACTTTGTTTTTATTGTGAGTACCCACAAAAAAAATAGACACTTAACAGGATCTAATGATGTACAACACTTATATGTAAGATCAAAATCAACAGAGTAATTTGATTCTCTTTTGCACTGATAAGGAAAAAATCGAGCTCGTCGCGCCGGCGCGCCGGCCAGCCCCAGAGGGTTAAAGGTGGGGAATGTGATTTTTTTTATTTTTTTTTATTTTCAAAATCACTTGAAATCCTTTTCCTAACCCACTTATAGCACTGAAATGAAAATTACCGTAAAACTTAAAATAATAGCCGAGTCCTAAATAGACGCCTGTCTCTTTTACACGCCTGGTGTGGTTGCAGGTTTGGGTAAATAAAGGCCGGTCTCAAATAGAGGCCGGGTGTGTTTTTTAGTTTCGGGTTGTATTTCTAAAACCCGTCAGATCGTCCGCTTTTTGACGGCCGAAAAAGCAAATTTGTGTCCCGCCAAAGCCTTTTTTGATCGGCGAGTGATGTAGAATAGAATGACTGCTGCGCTTGACAGGGCGCATAACGAGCAGAGAGAGAGAGAGAGCGCCCCGGCCGCACACGCGCACTCTCACGTCTTCAAACAACACAAGCGCTGTCTTGCTCTCTCTCCCTCGCGCATATTAATCAAAATCAATTGACAGACACGATAGTAAAAGGTCGGAAGATTGCAGTTTCACGTGGAGCATTTGGAGATTTTTAGAGATTAGAGACTCTAGGCTTACACTCAATGAACAACATCTCAACACTAAATTATAAAGGCCGGTCTCATATAGAGGCCGGTCTCATATAGACGCCTGTCTCAAATACAAGCCGGTGCAGTTCGACGATTTGGGAAAATAAAAGCCCGGGCTATTATTTGAAGTTTTACGGTAAGCAATTTAATCGTCTGTGGAACGGGCAGGACTCGAAAAACTCCAGCCAATCATTTCCAAGACCACCTAGAATCATTTGACAGTAAGTGCGTCAATCAAACAGCCTCCCCCATCCCCCTCGAGCGAGTCAGGGCCAGCGTTGGAGGAAAGAAGGTAGGAGCTTTTGAGTTGTGTATTTTCAAAATCTGCTGGACGTTTTGCAAATCACATACCCCAACTTTAATGAACAAGAATATACTGGAAATATTTCTTGAGTGACACTGACCACATCTACAATCTTCTCTCCAAACAGCTCTCCTCAATGGCCAAGCTTGTGCTGCAAAGCTCCACCAACCTTCTATTCCATGTCTCACTACCTTCACTAGGTCGCCGGTACCTCTAAACCTCAGTTTTGTGAAACCACCATCAACCAGCCAGTGCCCCATTACTACAACTAGGCCCCTTGTACCACCTCCACCATCAACCAGCCAGTACCCCATTACTACAACTAGGCCCCCTGTACCACCTCCACCATCAACCAGCCAGTACCCCATTACTACAACTAGGCCCCCTGTACCACCTCCACCATCAACCAGCCAGTACCCCATTACTACAACTAGGCCCCCTGTACAACCTCCACCATCAACCAGCCAGTACCCCATTACTACAACTAGGCCCCCTGTACCACCTCCACCATCAACCAGCCAGTACCCCATTACTACAACTAGGCCCCCTGTACAACCTCCACCATCAACCAGCCAGTACCCCATTACTACAACTAGGCCCCCTGTACCACCTCCACCATCAACCAACCAGTACCCCATTACTACAACTAGGACCCCTGTACCACCATCAACCAGCCAGTACCCCATTACTACCAGTAGGCCCCCTGTACCACCTCCACCATCAACCAGCCAGTACCCCATTACTACCAGTAGGCCCCCTGTACCACCTCCACCATCAACCAGCCAGTACCCCATTACTACCAGTAGGCCCCTGTACTACTTACCTCCACTGTCAAGGACCCACTGCCTGCCACTCTGCAAACTGGTGCAGTGTGTGGAAACCCTTCAGCATCCATTCAACCTTCATCCCCCTCCTTCTAGTCAGTCAGGCATGAATCTCAAGGTATTGCATCAAATACTGTAAGGAAGATAAATGTCAATACTGTGGTTAAATTACATAATTTTCTTTGTTTTGTTTGTAGTGTTAATAATCTATTTCTCTCCTTATCCCCTCCATTTTACAGAAATAACACATCAAATGACACTATTTCTACTGGACCTTACAAAAACTCACCAGCAACTTTATTTTAGGAACAAAATGGTGTTCTATAAAAAAATACAAAACTTATTCTCACAAAAGGCCTACAACTTGTCAAGTGAGAAAATTCAGGGAAAAAAACTAGCAAACATGTTAACCACTTATAAGAGAGTAAAAGACAGGCGCCGTGCAACTGGGGAGGGGAAGATCACCTGGGAGTACTATACAGTAAGTTGAAGACTGCTTTACTTTATGTTTCTGAAATAACATTGTCATGTCTTACAAGACTGAAACATTGGTCATTTTCATTTTACATTTGAAATCCACCCCCACCAGCTAATGGATGAGTTATTTGGGTCATCGGGGATCAGTACTGCACCACCTGGCACCATTCAATCCACACCTCTGGGTTTGGAAGAGACCTCCTCCAAAAGCAGGCCCACAACATCTTCTCTTCAAGACCAGCCAGCAGGTGCTAGTATGGATGAACAGCCAGGAACCTCTACCATACAAAATACAAACATCACAAGCAGGCAAAGAGGACCACAACCCTTACAATTTCTGGAGGCTTACAGAGAGCATGCAGAGAGAAGGACTGCTGTGCTTGAGTCCCTGGTAAGGCCAGATCTGGAGAGATGGTGGCAACTTAAGGAGAGGCGGAGAAGGTCCTTCGAAAAAAAGATGGTGACCAGCTTGGAAACAATTGTGGAGGTGCTGAAGAAAATGGTAAAAAGACAAGAGCAAATTATGCATCTATTACAGAACCCACATTAACCTCAATAAAATGATAGGGTAAAGATGTTTTCTCTTTTGATTTACACCTTTCCCTAAAATGTCCAATATGAATTTTTTTTATGTTCCCAAAGAACACAATTTCTAATGACAAACTAATTTTGTTCAATAAAATAAATTTCTTTATTTCAACACAAAATCTGTTTTTTTATCATTTGTTGAATATTTCTGTACATTCAAATCTTTACTTTTGTATGTTTAGTATACACATACAAGTTAGATCTGGCCACAAATCTGGTCTCTATAATGACATGCATTAGTGTTGTGGGGTTCATCATCAACACCATCATCTACCACAACAACTTGAGCACTGGGCTCTAAACTAAGATTATGCAAAATGCAGCAGGCTGAGACTGCTGAACTGATATTGGAAATGCTTTTCATTTGCAGGCAATGGAGCCTCCTAAACTTACATTTTAGAATGCCAAATGCATGCTCAATGACCACACGAGCAGCATTGAGCTTTATGTTAAAAGTATCTTTACCTAGCAGACAAGTGGCCATTGTCTCTATAAGGCCTCATAAGTTGAGGCAACAAAGGGTAGTAGGGCTGTACTGCCCCAGTCGATTAGTTGATTAATTGGTCGATACGTTCTGGTTCGACCAAGATTCTGATTGATCGATTTTTTGCCACGTTCATTTCATCAGTTTTGTCGTTCAGAACACCCCCCCTTGTTTTCACCTTTTTTGGATTAGCCCAACCCAAGAGAGAACGATAAGTAGGCTATAGAAGGTTTGATGCTGAATATTATTTATTTAATTGTGAGAGCGTTTAATACAGGTTGGCTACAGGCAGGCCCGCCGACAGGGGGGGACAAACGGGTCTGTTGTCCCGGGCCCAGGGTAGGGAGGGGGGCCCAGAACTGGGCCCTCATTAAATTATGGAATAATTGTAAAAATAAAATAAAATAAAAAGGCATATTTGTTGAAAAAATATCTAATATTTGAGTTACATAAAAGCTTTTTATTCGTTTTCTTCCTAATTGTCCTTGAAATAGTGGTCAAGAACCCCCCCCAATTTCTTTTTAAACGTCACGCCACGGTACCAGGTTTTCTCAAACCGGGGATGCGCGTGCATGCCCAAAGCGCGTGCAGTTGCGTCCTCTTCATAAAAGCGCTGAGACATGGCGACCGGCGGTGCTGCTGCTGTGGTGGCTGTAAATCCACTTGTTGATAAGAAAGGAGGAAAGAGCCACATATGGAAATATGTTGGATATTAGCTCATAATAGCGACGCGGCGCGCTCGTTTTTACAGGCGCGCCTAAGTTCATTGTTGCATAGCAACGACAGACGCCACGGGAGAGCAAACGCTTGTGGAAAGGAGAAAGCGGTGCGAACTGCGCTCTCCATGATGTATTAGCAAAGAATTCATTGATTTCTAGCCCTTGGATTAGCTTTACTACTATTTATGGAGATGAGAAATAAAAAGCCGGCTGAAATGCATCGTCATCATCGGTGAACAGATAATGGGTCAGATCCGAGTCTATTTTTGCTGCGCTGCTCATGCTTAAAAGTGAAAGCACACTTTTGATGGACAAAAAATAAATATGATTTCACACAAAAAGTGCCCAAAATGCACAGATTTTGCATGTCTTGTGTGTTTTAACAAGAACTGCAGTAGGCTATGTCAGAAAAGAAAATGAAGACATTTATAGAAAATGTATCCCCACAGAACGGTAGGGGAAACACAGATGTCTTGGTCAAAGTGCAGAAATCTTCTCTTCTAGCAGGGGTATTATGAAAGAGTGTATGCAATGCTCTGAGCACTTTCTCCAGCTGCCAGACACTGAAGCCACCTTTGAAGGCATTGTGGAGCGTGTGAAGTCCACAGCTTCCCACCACAATAAGCTGGGCACTTCCCAAATGCCTCTGCATGTTCCTGTTGGAGCGTTGAAAAAAACTTCCAGTTGACATTTGGTCCATCCATTGAGATAGAAATCATTTCTCAGGTCAAGCTGCTGCACACACTCCTGGAAATGAAAACACACAGACATTAGCCATACAACAGTCAACATCTCATTTCTGACACCACCACCTCAGAAAAAATGTCAGACTGGAGAGGATAAAGAATAATTAATACTATTCACAAATAAAGAAACCTGAGCCATCCCTATAGTATAGCCATAGTGTACAGTGCTGCTCGTGAGTTTATGAACCCATGCTAAAGAGGAATAAAAAAAAAATCTTCTTTTGGAAATTGATTTTAATGCCTTAATAAAAAATTAATAAAGGAAAAATCCAACCTTTAAGGGCACCAATTTTCTTTTGTGAATGAATAATGTAAATACTGTAAATGAAAAAATATACGTTCTTCCTTAAAATACAGGGGGCATAAGTATAGACACCCCTATGTTAAATTCATTACATATTGGCAGGTAAACACCAGACTCTACTACCATTCTAAAACTCAATTTGCCTGTTTTTAACACATTTTTCATTTTAATTAGTCTAATTAAAGGAGAACTCCAGTCAATTTTAACATTGAGCTAATTTTTTTGTACATTTGGAGGGCTGTCAGTACAGACAAAAACGACTTTTTTTTTTTTATTCGCACCCTGTTGACTTCAGTGGGGCAAGTTCTAAACCTGCTTTTAGCCTCTTAACATCCTTGATTTGTCACAAGTGCACAGCCATGTGAGTGGTGTTATTAAGAGTGACCACGGTCAATCTGACTGCAGTAGATGTGAAATATATTAATAAAAATTATGTTAATTCAGCCAGCTCACATACCTGTATTTACTTCCTGTTTTCGGTCGAAGTCCACAGTAGTCGATTGTCGAATTCGCGCGCGCGACCATTGGTAACTAAGCAACAGTGGAGACTCAAGACTGGCAGCCGATGACGGTGCTGTGTGGTGTTCTTAGAACATCAGCTGAAATGGATAGTTCATCCGAATCAGATGTTGAGCATCATTTAGTTACCAATGATCTCGCGCGCGCAAACTCGACAATCGACTACTGTGGACTACGGCAACACCGGCATTCCAAATGTACAAAAAAATGAGCTCAATGTTAAAATTGACCGGAGTTCTCCTTTAACGTGTAGTGCCCTATCCATAGTGGTTATTCACTTGACAAATCAGTAAAGCTTAAATTATATGATACACAAAATATACAAGAGGTTAGTTAATGAATATATTTATGGCAGACTTACTTTGAAATGCTGAAGTAGGTCCTGGGCAGTTGCATGGCCCATGAACTGTGCTCCATAGAACCTTGACTGGACGTGGTCATTTAACCAATAAGGCACATGCAAGTCCATTTGTTTGCTTTTGGTTGTCTGGTTCAGTGTCTCGTCGAACATAATTACAAACGCATCGCATTTTTAAACTTCGGTGATGAGCTCTTTTTTTATATATGGCGCCAATCCAAATTTAGCCACGTATCTGGTCTTGTCTTTTCCACAGGTAAATGACTGTACAAGCCCGGAATCTGGAAACATTGCTTTGAACACTTCTTCAATCCCATCATTAGACCTGTATGAATTGTGGCTTGTAACAGTCCTCAGCACCCAAATCACCTCTGCTCGGAGTGTTGGCGTAGAGCCACAAATTGCGCGGAGGTCAGCTGGCATTGTTGGCTGTGGATTTCCCATCATAACATCCTGCGTTGTAGCGTTGACATCGTTGCTAGCGGTGGAAATGTTGGAACAGAAGCTAGCAATGGCGGGCTGCTGGCGTGCCATTACAAAGTCTCTGTGTTTTTTGCTCTGTACGTGCGATTCCACCGCTCTGAGCCCCATTGTCCCAAGTTTGAGACTCTTCCGACACATAATGCAGTTCGCTTCATAAATATTTCCAGGCACCGACCTTAACCAAGAATACTCTTCTTTTTCAAGCCATTTGTATTTGAACTTGCATTTCCCCATATGTCTAAGTCGCTATCAACCATTGCTATGTTACCTGTGGCGAAATTACGAATCCCGCCACGCCAAGACCCACCCACGAAGCAGCTCGATTGGTTTAGGTTGGGTTAGCCAATTGGTCAGGGGATAGGTCATGTACAAATGAGGTTACGTTACCTTGTAAAAAATAGTCGACCTGGCTGGCAGAACGATTGCCTGCATCTTTGCGGTGACGTGACACAAACATATTTAAGACCTATCCAATCTGAATTTAAGACAATTAAATACTTTTTAAGGCCTTATTTTTAGGAAAAGTGATTTAAGACTTTTTAATACTTTTTAAGGACCCGCGGCCACCCTGTAAAAGTCAGTCCTCTTCTAACATGTCAACAACAAAGAAATCAACAGTGTGGCAGCATTTTGTGAAAATTGATAACGCGGAAAAAGGTCGAATGCAAAGTTTGCAAGCAACAGTTTTCCACAGCTTGACGAAAAACATGACATATCATCTAAAAGTGGTAAGCTCACTTGTCTGCGTTAGCTTGTTCTGTCTGTTTTGAAATAGGCTATATGAACATATCAGAATTTGCATATTTAAATGTTTTAGTGTGATAACCTAACTTTTTTATTTTTTATTTTGAGCCTAATGCGCAATTGCGCAACTTATTATTATAACATATGACACAAATAATTGTCTAAATTATGTTGCATATTCCTCAACAGTTCTTGTGATGATATCACTAGTTGACAACATAGTAGGCCTACTATTTTCGGAAATCATAGGCAATGATATTGCGCAGGTGCACATGATGCAACGCTGTCAGAGCCGACTCATTTCAGACCAAAATAATTAGTTCAAAAACGATTTAATATACTGCAAATAGCCTACTAGTTTTTAATGTTTATTTATAAATCATTTAGACGGACAACAAGGCTACCAAGTACTGCGCACTGTGCGCAGCTAATTAATTTACGTCATTTTACGTACGTAATTAATAAAACGTCATTTTTAGTCGATTTTTTGTCGAAACTTTCAGGACTTCTGTCGACCAAGATTTTCTTTGGTTGAGT